GTCGTCTACCTCCTCCTCGTCTTCCTCGTCGTCCTCCTCGTCGCTGCTCTCCCGTTCGGCCTCTGCATTGACGCAGCCAACTCCGGCACAGTGGCCACAGATGCCGCTGCATTTTAGTCCGGCTTTTACACAACTGCAACCCGCTCCGCAACTCGCTCTGCAATCGCAACTTATAAGTTCAAGAAGTTCTTTAGGCGCTGCTGCATTTGTCGTTGTCACTGGAATATATTGATTGTTTTCTAGTTTCCAGCCCCACTCTATAGGATTCAGTTCGTTCTCAAGCCACATTTGAATTTGATGGTACGTCCGGAAGCTGTGTTGCCGTGCTGCTGCTGAGGTCGGTGGTAGCGATTCAAGCAAGAAGTTTGCTCGGACGGACTGCCTTGCAATGGTTCTTCTGTACAAATGAAAGCGTGCTTTGTTCAAGTTCGGCTGAGCGGGGACGCCATAGATAGCCAGAAGTATTTTTTCTCCAGCTGCAGCGACGGCGTCGTGAGACTGGCCGGGTTTGAGGAAAGTGTCTACATGCGTTTGAAGGTTTTCCTGGCATAGCCTTTGCAGTGAAATCTTCTTTACTCGTCGGTACAGGGCGGACACAGTGTCAGTGCCCGTTATCGGGTGAGCCACTAGAATGTTACGTGAAGTATTGCCCATTTTATACTGGATACTTTGAATATGATGTACCTTGGGCCCTGTGCGCCCTGACGCAGGGATAAGCAAATGCAGTGGCAAATTCTTGTCAGCTAAAGCGGTAAGGAGCACAAGCAGATCGGTGTCATTACCAGCGACAACGGCGTTTTTTCCTTCTCGTGCAATTTCGATGCCTTTCAAAACGACGGGCACGTCAGCTTCTGCCTTCGCCTGGATAACTGTAACTCCAACACGCTGTAAGGACTCAGAGAGAAGTTTGATGAGCAATTTCTTGTTATTCGCATTAGCCAGGAATTTATTCTGAGTTTCTAAGACGGTCATCCCCGGTGTAATCACTGCAAGATCGGCACTTGTGCCCGTCGCTGCCCTGAGGTTGTGTTCTTGATCTTTAGTTGTTGGACCGTCCGGGTAGCCATCAAAAACAACGGTGCAAGCGACCCCATAATGTTGAGTGACGTGTTTTGTGTACAAGGCAGTAACTTCGCCGTACGTAGCCGGTCGCGGCCACACTACTTTCCTTAACAGAAAGCCTCCATCCAGCACATAGCAAGGCTCAAGGGGAATGACACTGTCACTACGCGCAAACATTGACTCGACTGCTTCGACCATTTTCGCCTTCGCAGTTTTCCGCATGCTGCCGTCTGAGTCAAAAAGTGACAAGGGAAACGGTGCCAGCTCGTAGACGAAGTGGGCCTCAAGCTCTCTAACATCCTTCAAAGCCACTATGATTCGGTGGAACAGCTGAGTTGGGTTAACTTGAACAGCATTTCCCCTTATTGAAACCGATCTCCTCATGGCCGCGATGGGCAAAGCTTTGTCTTTCCTATGGAGAGTAATTTCAGAAAAAAGCTTGCCAACGATTTTTTCCATAGCTGCACAGCCAATTTCGTAAGCACGGTCACAGGTGACTGTGCTGTCAGCAATCAAGCCCGAGGACAGACACACCAGCTGGTCACAAGGCTTGTCGAATGGACTATGTTCCTCCAACCAGTCCCTAAAAACAATTTGATGTTTTGCATCTCTGGAGATGGTGGCGTCCCGAAGTTCGACGTGCTGCTCTGAAGCACCTCGAGAGAGACCACAGAACTTTTCAAGCGCCTGGACAACTTCGGAACAATAAGGCATGCTCCTTATCCAAACTGCAAGGGTGCTTTCTGTTATACCACGTCCTTGCGTGGTGATGCCCCCAATCGTCTTCATATTCTTCATCAAATCCATTTCAATAGTCTGGTCAGAGAAGTTACCCGCCCACAGTTTATTCAACTTCCGCACAGAAAAGAACCCCTGATCAAACAACCGCTCTCTCTCGGCAGGTGGCAGAGACGACTCAGCGACGAGCATTTGTTGCAGATACAAATGGGCAGACTTTGCATAGTTTAGATGTCCTGCAGCGTGAAAGTACGGCAGCATTTCCTTCACGGCGTGCAGATGGAGTCTCCAGTCACCAACTCGTTCCGCGCGGATCAGCAGCCGGATCAACTCTACCTGTCGCACATACTGCACCCAAAGCTTCCCTGTTCTGGTAGCCTCCAAGTTGTGCAGCGTTTCGTCGAGTTTTTCTCTAGCGCGAAGTAGAACTTCATTTTCTTCTGGGACCGAGACTTCTTTGCGATGCACTGCAAGACACTGCTCGAGCAAATCTCTGCGCATCGAGGCGATATCTGGGGCACCAAACACTTGCTTTAACACAATACTAAGAATAGCGGTCTGTGTTAAAAAGTGCGCTCGCACAGCACGAGAGTAGGCCTTCCCGGAACACATATGTGGAACAGAGTTCTTGGCGTAGACAGTAGTCCACAATTCTTCTAGACCACTGCCAGCCATGAGGTGACCTATCGAACCCATGAAGGACATAAGGAGATGGAAGCCGCCGAGTCGGACAATTACTTTTCTCACCGGACTATTTTGGGGTGAGGACAGAATTATGTCCATTGCTTTCCAGAACAACGGCTGATCAAAAGTCACCGAACAGAACTGTTGGCCATGCTTGGAAGCCGTTTCAGCAGCAAAATCGAGGCAGGTGAACACTGTTGTCGGATCAGAGGGGTTGAGATTTACGAATGGGAGCGGGAGGGTTGCTGTCAATGAGTAAGGAGATGTGCCCTGCATGGCGTTGCTCATGAAGCCATTCCAACCCGGGATAACATGGGGCACGCCAGTGTTACCAATCAGCCACAGCAGGTCAAACTGGCGAGCCTTCATTAAATTACCAGCCTCTGCAGCAGACAGGGAAGCTGCAGATGGTCTCATATCTGCAACACTGATCTGGCCGAAGCCCTGAATGTGAGGTCTGCTGTACGACTCAACTGGAATCACTCCAAACTGCGACAGCGAAATTCTTCTTGTTTCTGAAGTCAGCCTTGGAAGTGGACCTCGAGGTGGGACGCCTGTCTTGGGTGTGACAAAAACCATACCCCCCATGCTGTGAACCGTACTGTGGCCGTCAACTGTGTCAGTGTTGAAATCAAAATTGTCAAAAACAAATTGAATGTAGGCTTCACCATCGACGTTCAACTTGGAGTGGATTACAGCGGATTTCTCATATTCAGAGATGCACGAGTAAGACACACTGCTTCCCATCAGGTTCAAAATATCACATAATGTCTTACTACCTGTTTTCCGATGGACCCAAATGCCAAGGCTCAGCAGCAGAGGGGAGATGAACGACCTCGGTCGAGTAGCTGTAATTATTGAGTGGGCCAAAACTTCACAAGTTTTTTTGTACTTTGCTGCACTCTCCGCCTTTTTCCGCCTCATAGTAACCCCATGCAGAAAGAGAGTCAGAGACTCCGGCACCAGAACAGGCCCATTTCCATCTAATGCTGGGAAGTAGTCAGGTTCCTGCACCATCGCTCGAATGTCAGCGCGCACTATTTCTGCAGCCTTCTGTACAATTCTGCGACGTTCTTCTTGCTCGTCCTTGTTGCGAATACCTCGGGTGTACCATGCTTCGCTGAGTTGATCAAATTTCTCCCCAAGAAAACAGAGGATCGAGGACTTCCCTGGCCGCGACACAACTTTCACTCTACCCTCGTACTTATCTATCAAAAGTCTCTCAAGGTGTTTCTCTGAGTACATCACCGCAGCCGGCGTCATTGCGACGAGATCGGATAGGGTGAACTGACACTCGTCCTCGCGCTCCAGCTTGCTGCAGAGCTGCTCAAAGGCCGCCATTTTCAGCTCATCCGTAGCGCGTCCCTGAGCTCTGCCCCTCCCACGTGCGAGCTACAAAAAGAAATAATATGACAGTGACGCGACATGCAGCGAACTAATTGCTCCAATGCAAATACGGAAATTTCAAAAGTTTATACCTTGGGAACGGGGATGCGCGAAGGAGTTCCCTCGGCTGGTGATGTTGCAGGGCGCTTTGGTGGCAACTTGGCAGGGGTTTTGAATCCTGGGGGAGTACTCGTGCCGGATGCAGGTGGAGATAGGAAGGAGGGAGGTGGAGACAGGAAGGCGGCAGGTGGAGACGGGAGTGGCTCCGCTCTAACCGTCAAATTGCAACAAATCAAATTACCGATATTCGGTTTTTTTCAGTGCAGACGGAAAAAAGCAGGAACATTATTAATCAAACCTAGAGCGATCCAAAAGAGCGGCATAACACGCACGGTGGTAGCACGCGCCCTCTCGGACGAGGCTGGAAACTCCGCTAACACGAATGGCAGCCTTTCGCACCCACTCCTCAGTACGCCCTGCGCAGGCAGCCATCACGGTTTCACGAACTGCATCTGAAGTGACGACGCTTACGCCGCGATCTGTGCGTGGGCGTCCACCACCTACAAACACCCACAAAATGAAAAACCCGAAAACATTGCTTTTTGCCGCTATAAAAGAAAACCTTTTCTATTAAGACCTTCACCTGAGCTCTGCAGTGGGACTTCCCTGGAGCACAGAAAGCATGACGTCGCAAAATTAAAATTTTGGACTGCTGTTGACCGGAGTAGAGGGGGGCGGCTGGGAGAGCTTGACTTCACGAAGACGTTTTCATTCTTCCCTATTCGTCTTGTGTAGCTCTTG